CTTCTTCTTCTTCTTCTTCTTCTTCTTCTTCTTCTTCTTCTTCTTCTCCTTCTCCTTCTCCTTCTCCTTCTCCTTCTCCTTCTCCTTCTCCTTCTTCCTCCTCCTCCTCCTTCTTCTTTTTCTTCTTCGTCTTCTTCTTCTTCTTCCTCCTCCTCCTTCTTCCTCCTCCTCCTCCTCCTCCTCTTCCTCCTCCTCCTCCTCCTCCTCCTCCTCCTCCTCCTCCTCCTCTTCTTCTTCTTCTTCTTCTTCTTCTTCTTCTTCTTCTTCCTCCTCCTCCTCCTCATCATCATCATCATCATTATTTGGTGGTTTTTTTTTTGAGACAAAGTTTCTCACATAACAGCTCTGGCTGTCCTGGAACTTGTTTTTTAGACCAAGTTGTCCTCAAACTCAAAGAGATCTATCTACCTCTGTCCCCAGAGTACTGGGATTAAAGGTGTGCACCACCACTGCCAGGAGGTAAGTGTCTTCTTAATTCTTGCTTTTAAATTCAAGATCAGGTGCTATGGAATAATCCTTCCATACACTGTGAAATATGTTGTTCTCATTGTTAATAAAAAGCTGATTGGCCGATAGGTAGGCAGGATTTTTGGAGCAGACAGAATGCTGGGAAGAAGGAGGGTGGAGTCCGAGGAGTCTTGAGGAGAGTCCATGAGATGCAAATTGAGCAGGATGGAAAGTGCGTACATGAGGTAAATGAGCCTTGGGGCAGCATATAGATGAATGGAAATGGGTTAATTTAAGTTATAAGAGCTAGTTGAAAATAAACCTAAGCTATTGGCTGAGCATTTATAATTAATATTAAGTCTCTGTGTGGTTTTTTTGGGAGTCAACTGGTGGGACAGAACTGAGTGCCTGGACACAGAGAGACACTGTCTACAGCTGGGATCTAGCTCAACTGGCAGAGTGCTTGACTGTCATGCATAGAACAGTGGCTTCTATCTCTAGTTCCATGTAGAGTGGGCATTAATTTACTTTCCTATAAATTTTGCCCTTGGGGATGGAGGAAGGAGGATGACTTGGAGGGTGGAGGAAGGAGAACAGAATGAAAAACATACTAACTAAAAGTGAGGGACCAAGAATTACACATTGTGTCGTTCTGTTCCATACCTTATCCAGAATATGTAAATCCAGAGAGACAGAAAGCTCATTAGTAGATGCCAGGAGCAGGAGGTGTGGGAATCTTAATGAGCATAGTGTTTCTGTGGGGGTGGTGACAGTATCCTGGAACTAGATAGAGGTGGTGGCTATATACTGTGAATATACCAACTGTCCCTGCTGTGTAGACTTTCAAGTCACTGGTTTTATGTTCTGTGACTTTTACCTCAGTAACTGTTTAAAAATCAATGTGCCTTGGGTAATTTTACCCTCTCTCCTGGAGATTTATATGAAGCCACAGCAGCCAGCTACACAGGATCAAGCCGGTACATACCTTTAATTCTAGCACTTGGGAGAGAGGCTGGTGGGTCTCTGAGTTTGAGACCAGTCTGGTCTACAGAGGGAGTTCTTGGGATAGCCAGGGCCACTCAGAGAAACCCTGTTTGGGGGCTGGGGAGAAGGGTTTCCAGCAGGGAGTGGTGGGAACTCTGAAGTTCCACCCTTAGCTAATTGCTGTTGAGGGAAGGAGAGCCACTTTGCTTTCGGGGTGTAACCACAGGTAGATCGCACGTGTCCCATTGGGTGACCTCATACCTACAGGCATGTCGTCAACACTAATTAAAATCAATGAGTTAAGGGAGGAAGGGAGGGAAGGAGGGAGGGAGGAAAGAATGAAGGAATAAAAAAAGGAAGGAAGGAAGGAAGGAGGAAGGAGGAAGGAAAGAAGTAATGAAAAAGGAAAGGAAGAAGGAAGGAAAGAAGGAAGGAAGATTTGGGAGGGAGATGTTCAGGGAAATCCTGGAGGGAGTTAAAGGGGAGAGTGGTGGTAAATGATTACAATGTATAGTATATATGTATAAATTTTTCAAAGAATAAATATTTATATAAAGTATATATGGGGTGGAAAGATACACGTGTTAAGACTACTGACTGCCCTTCCAGAGGACCAGGTTTCTACTTCCAGCACCCACATGGTGGCTCTTGTCTGTAACTCCAGTTCATCTGCTCCAACAAGGCCACATCTCTTAATCCTTTCCAAAGAGTCTCACCAACTAGAGACCAAGTATTCCAACATATGAGCCTGTGTGGTTATTCTCCTTCAAGCCACCACAGTGAATGAGCTTTCAAAGCTGTAGAACCATAGCTGCCCAGGGCCCTACTTTCAGACCTCAGCCCATGCAGTAGTATGCCAGCAGAGCAAAGGAAAAAAGGCCTGGCAGCATCAAGCTCGGCACAGATGGCTCCAGGGGCCAGACCCACAGTTGCCATCAGTGACATTCCTCCGGTTGCTGCCATTCGTCAGCTGTGGTTTTGTCCTACTTGTGGAGGGCTCTTGGTACTGAAACCCATGTAAACATTCGTATTCACTTTGTTTTTCATTTAGTGAGTTACTACCATGTGTATATGCTACGTGTGTGCTCTTGTGAGAGCTCGTGAGTGCATATGTACCACGGCATGTGTGTGGAGATCAGCTTGAAGGATTTGGTTCTCCTCCACTGTGGCTTGGACATCCAATGATTAAACTCTAGTCAGTGAAGGGCTCTAATGGCCCAAACATGGCAAACATGGTACTGAGAGGTCCCCCTTCTTTTGTGTCCCTTATTTGGCCATTTCCTTATTCCAAAAACTGACTGTCAAGGCTACCACTCGATTCCCTAGCTAGAATTCTTTTTTCTCCTTAAAATCCACTCCTGCAGAGCCGCTTGCTGCTGTTTCTGTCTGATTAAGATTCAGCCACCCAGTTTCTGTGTCTTGCTTAATATTAGATCTCTTTGTGTTGAAAATTGGTGTTTGGGTGTGGCCTGTGCCTAATGGGGGTTCAGAAGGGAGCACTCTATGGTGGTGCATGCCTTTTATCCCAGTACTCAGCAGGTAGAGGCAGGTGGACCTCTGTAGGTTCCAGGCCAGCTCTGGTTACCTGTGTGGTAGTTTGAATGAAAATGGCCCCTAGGGATTCATAGGGAATGGAATTATTTGAAAGGATTAGGACATTTGGCTTTGTTGGAGTAAGTGGGTCTTGTTGAAAGAAGTATTTCAGTGGGTATAGGCTTTGAGGTTTCAAATGCTCAAGCCAGACCGTTTCTCTCTGTGTCTCTCTTTGTGTCTCTGTCTCTTTGTCTCTCTCTCTGTCTGTCTCTGTCTCTGTCTCTGTCTCTGTCTCTCTCTCTCTCTCTCTCTCTCCTGCCTGCCACTTCAGATGTAGAACTCTCAGTTACCTTTCCAGCATGATGGTTTGCTGCCAGGCTTCCCGCCATGAGGATAATGAACTAAATCTCTGAACCTGTAAGCCAGTTCCAACTAAATGTTTTCCTTTATAAGAGTTGCCATGGTCACAGTGTCTCTTCACAGCAATATAAACCCTGACTAAGGCCCCCGTCTTTAAATACATAATTTTAAAAATGTCAAACAATAGCAACAATGAATGATGCTCCCAAGCACATTGCCAATTGCTACCAGAAGTGACAAAGAGAGGCATGGAATAAGATCTCCCTTCTTTCCTTCCAAAGGAACCAGTGTTGTCTACACCTTTATTTCCATAGCTCACATAATCAAGAAGTTTATTTTCCATTGTTCTAAACCAACAAGTTGGTGGCACTTAGTTACAGCTGTCCCAATAAAGCAACTCGGCTGTATCAGGACATTTCCCAGAGGAGCTGTTCACCCTGGTCTGTGACTGGAGACTCTCTCTAAAGAGCATACACAGAAAGAAGCACTGACCTGGAGGGAAGACTGTGAGCAGTAAAATAGGAAGGAACAGAGCAGATGTGGCCTTCTGATTGCCATGCCCACACATCTTAACCCTACTCTTGCACCAAGGAGGAACAAAGAGCCTCTTAAATGGGAGCTGCTGTATGACACAATTAAGCCAGCAGCCCCATCTTCCTCTTCATGTACTGAAACATCTACATGTGGGTAGGTTCAAACCTATGTTGTTAAAATCAGCCCCAGGATGGGGATGGTTGGAAAAATCTGCCTCTTACCCACAGCTCTGCATTCGGCTGTTCCTGCACCTCAACCCCTTTCAAATCTGGTGGCATGACCAGGCAACGTGGTGGGTGCCCAAAAGGAGATGCAGAGACCCTTATGGAGCTTGAACTTCTTGCAGTAATCAGTGTCTTTAGGTGTGGCACCGATACAGATGTCCTTGAGATCCCCCCATACCAAGTCTCCCACACCCACACATAGACACCCTCATTTCTGCATTTCCATACTCAACACCTTGACCCTGCTGTGAGTTTTTCTCACCCAAGCAAACACTTGTCACAGCCCTGTAGACTCACCCAGACAGAGTAGGTATATGAAATCTATGTCCATAGCTTCCCTTCTCCCTAAGCCAAGGTCCGGTGTTCAGTTCTCAGGAAGGATTGACAGGGCAGGAGGAGACCACAGTTCTCTGCTGGCCCCACTTTGTCCCTAGAACCTGCAGGCTGAAGCTTTGCCCTGACACTTGGGTTGCCTTCATAGCTGTTTGCACAGCTTCCTTCCTGAACAGACACAGGAAGCAAGACGCCTTGGATGATGACATCTGTCAGCCTGGGTGCAGCTCTGCCCACTCTGGGACCTGCCCTTCTCAACTGAAATCTTACCTAAGATGCTTTACATTTTAATTTGCTCATTTTTGACAATTTAATGCTTGCATATAGTGTCCTCTGTTCATATTCATCCCTTCCTACTCCTGCCAGCCCCCTCCTCTCAAACTAGGCCCCTCCTATCTTTATACCCTTCCCACTATCCTACCCGTCCGCCCCTTTTTTTTTAACTTTCTTTTTTTAGTTTTACATTTTGGTTATCATTCTCCTCTGGTTATTTAGTCTATTTATTCTGTAACTATAATATCTTTAGACAAATTATTTTATGTCCTTCTGAAGTTATTCTTTCTTTGAAAATTTCATGAATGAATGCAGTGTATCTCGCTTATACCTTCTCAAGTCTCCCAAGCACCTCCATCAGTCTCCCTCTTCATCTCATGGCTTCCTTTTAAAATCATTTGTTTTCAGGGCTGGGCAGATGGATCAGCAGCTAAGAGAACATGTCTCTCTTCCAGGGGACCTGAGTTTGAGTCCCAGCCCATGTCAGGAGGCTCACAACCGCCTGTACCTCCAGCTGCAGGGAGAACAGACACATCTGCCCTCGAGCGCCTGCTCACACACAGACTCACATACATCCATAAAATTAAAAAATAAAAATAAAATATTAAAGTATTATTTATTTTAGGTTTACATACAAAATGATGCATTTCATAGACATTTTTATACATGTATATCCTTTATTTATTTATTTATTTATTTATTTATTTATTTAATGTATATGAGTGCTCTATGCCTTTAGACCAGAAGAGGGCATCAGATACCACTATACATGGTTGTGAGCCACAGTGTGGTTCCAGGGAATTGAACTCAGGACCTCTAGAAGAGCAGCCAGTGCTCTTAACTGCTGAGCCGTCTCTCTGACCCCACGGCTTTTGTTCTTCTTCATCCCTCTCCTCTGTCTCAGCCCGCTCCCATCTTCTCCAGTCCTCTACCCTAGCCAATAGTCCTCTCTTTGCTTTCACCAGAAACAACCCTATTAAATTTGGACCCAGTCACATTAAGTAAAATAAGCCAGGCCCACCAAGCCAGAGCCACATTCATTCTTTCATGCATAGGATCAAGGAAGAAAAATGTCATGAATGAGGGACAGTTAGTGATGCCATATCCCTTACCTTCCTAATTGCTGTGAGAAAATACCTGACAGAAACAACTCAAGGGAGACATTTTTTGTGTTCACAGTTTCAGTCCATCGTGGCCCGGTGGAGGTTGTGTAGGGAGAGCGTGTGCTGGAGGCTTTTCTCATCACTCAGGAAGCTTGGGGTGGGACAAGAAGCAGGCTGTCGTAAATTTCATTTTCCACAGGCTGTGATAAAACACCCCAACAAGGACCAGGCCTAAAGGGTGCGCATCTTTATCCCCAGCACGCCCTAGGTGGAAGCAGGTGGATCTACAGTTTAAGGCGAATTTAGTCTATGTAGAAGTTCCAGCACAGCCAGGGCTACATGGTGAGACCCAATTTCAAAACAGAAATGAAACAACCCAAATGCAATTTGATAGGCTTTATTTGACTCACAATTCCAGGTTAAAGTCCAGCATTAAAGGGACATTAAGGCAACAGAAACTTGAAGCAGCTAGTCATATTGCTTCCATGGTCAAGAGCAGGAAGTAATGGATTAATGCATGTATGTGAATACCCAGATCTTTCGCTCTTGGAAAATTGGGTGTCCCAAGAAGTGGTGCCATCCAAAGCCAGAGCAGGTTTTCCCACCATAATTAAACCCAATTAAGAAAATCCCCACAGACATGACCACAGGCCAATTTAATGTAGACAGTTCCTTATTAAGATGCCCCAGGTGATTTAGATTGTGTTAGGTTGACAATCAAAACCAAACATCATACATCTATAAACCTCAAGGTCTACCGTCTGTGACCCACTTACACAGCCATGTTGTCTGTGCCAAGGGGTCCAGGAAGCCAGGCACGTGAGTCTGTGGGGTTATATTTCACATTCAAACCATTAAAGATGTGGAAGGGGAATAGAGGAAGGCAGATTGGGGATGAGAAAGAGTAATAGAGGAGTGAATATGACCAGAGTTCATTACCTGCCTGAACCGAACAGTCATAACAGTGCTTTTACTACAAACTAGTACTTGCCATTGATAATTTAAAAAAGAATAGACAAAGTATTCACTAAGAATATATTTGGGACTATAGCAATGGCTCAGCAATTAGGGGCACTTACTACTGCTAGAAAGGACCTTGTTCAATTTTCCAGCGCTCACATGCTGGCTTACAACCATCAAAACATTCATACACATGAAAATTAATAAATCTTTTAAAAAGAATATAAACATATATGTAAGAAACACATAATAAATATAAGGTCTATTGAGGTAAGTATATAACTTATACATTCGAGATAACCAACAGTGCCACAGAAGATGCTTAACATGTATGTTCTTGTTGTTTTGGTTTTCGAGACAGGGTTTCTATGTATAGCTCTGGGTGTTCTAGAATCACTCTGCATATCAGGCTGACCTTGAACCCAGAGCTCTGCCTACCTCTGCTTCCAAGTGCTGATTAGAGGCATGGCAACACGTATGTTCTTAAGAAAATGCAAACTGGGGCCGTGTATGGACACGCACCCCTTTATTCCCAGTACTGGGGAGAAGAAGCAGATGGATGTCTGTGAGTTCAAGGCCAGCCTGGTCTAGGACAGTTAGGGCTACATAGTAGAAACATCCTGTCTCAAAAACACCAAAAGGAAGAAAGTGTTAGAAAGGAAGAAAATACATGCATGCAAGCGCACGCGCGCACACACACACACGTGTTTATTTCTATATAAATAATAATATGTCAGGCAAGCATTTGTATGTTGAGAAATAATCCTTTACACTGTGTGAAGATGTGTCATTGTGATTGGTTTAATAAATAGCTGAATGACCAACAGCTAGGAGGGAAGAGGTTAGGCAGGACTTCTGGGAATAGAGAGGTCTCAGGGAAACAGAAAGGTGGGTCACCAGTCAGATGTGAAGGAAGCAGGATGGGCAGTACAGAGTAAAGGTAACCAAGCCAAGTAAAAGAACATGGATTAAAAAATAAGGGTTAATTTAAGTTATAAGAACTAGCTAGGAACAAGCCTAAGCTAAGGGCCAAGCTTTTATAATTAATAAGTCTCTGTGTGGTTACTTGGAGGTTGGCAGGTGGGACAGAGAAAGACACATTACATCTGTAATCAAGCATGGCATCTATTCTATGTGAAGAGTCAGAATGAGGCAGCTGTCATCCTGTCCTGGGGTGATTCCCACAAAAGCTGGCATCATGGTTGCACAGACATTCACAGGGATAATTTTGTCCAATTTCACCAAGGATTTATTATTCCCTTGGGGCATTGTGGGGTCTGTGGGCAAAGAAAGACAGAGGTTAATTGAGAGGAACACAACCGCTAAATTTGGGAGATTCCCACCCACACCCATTTCCCACCCTTCCCATCTGGAGATGTTCAAATGTCCTTTCTAAATGCTTCATTTGCAGGAAGGGTGTTGAGACAGAGTCTCATGGTCAAGATGTCCTCAAACTTGTTATGTAGCCAAGGATGACTTTGAACTCCTGACTCCCAAATGCTGGGATTACAGGTGTACACCATAAATTGTTTATGCAGAGCTGAGTACCAAGTACTGGACTTCATGACTGACATCTGTAACTCCAGTTCCAGGGAATCCATGGTCTTCTTCTCAGCTCCTTGGGCACTTCATGCACACGGTGCACAGAAAAAAATGCCAGCAAAACACCCATAAACATAAAATAACTTCTAAGGAATAAATGATGGACAAGCACTCCATCCACCGAGCTCCACTCCTGGATCACTTTTTTCATTATTTGATATTTATCACTTTATTTTATGTGCATGAGTTTTTACCTGCATGTATACTAATGTGCACTATTTGTGTGCCAGGTGCTTTCAGAGTCAGAAGAGGGCGCTGGATACTCTGGAACAAAACTCTGTCCACTGTAAGAGCACCAAGTGCTCTTAACATCTGAGTCACCTCTGTAGCCCTTCTTATTATCCCTACCCTTTGGTGAAAGGAATTTTCCTGTGTGCCTGTGTGGAGAAACCTGAGACACCACTGTGGGGGACCTGGATTTTAGATGAACCTATATTGATTTAGGGTAGGACATAGTTACTATAAGTAACTATGGCTGAATTGGATAATTAAAAATTTCCCCAAATGTAGGTCTGAATTGGTGGGCAGATTTGATAGCTACTTTGTGGAGGCCATTTCATGACTAGTGAAACTTCTTATTCAGCACATAATTGATTACTTACTTTTTTTCCTAGGGTGATTGGAGTATAATTGACACATGAAAATTAAATATGTTGGGACTGGAAGGATGGCTCAGTGATTAAAAGTACTGGGTGCTCTTGCTTGATCTTGGTTCAATTTCCAGCGTCCATATGGTTGCTCACAACCATTTATGCTTTGGAACTTCAGTTCCAAGGATTTCAATACCCTCTTCTAGCCTCTTCAGGCATCAGACATGCACATGGTACAGACATACATTTGCTACACAGACATACATTCAGGCAAAATACACATACACATTACTTTTTATAATTAAATATGCCAATATATTGCTTTGTACATAGTAAATTCAATTCAACTTGTATCTGTCAATTATACCTCTATCAACCCGGGATGAAGAAAACCCTAATAATTACACAAGAGACCATTTTAAAAAAGGAATGTTCAATTATTTTACCAGGGTCTATTTGGAGACAGCCTCTGACTATGCCAGGCTTCAACCAGAAAGCCTCCCATTATTAGCACAATTACAGCAGCCAGTCCAAGTCGAATGAGGTTACCCATGACATAGCCTTCTGTCAAGGAGTCTGGGGGTGTGTAGCCTTCTGTCATGGTATCTGATGACTCTGAAAGGGAGAAGATGATCATGACTGGCCACAGAGGGCATTCCGCCTTCACAGACAGATTTAACGAATCTGACTCCCATATGTCCACTTGCATAATGGACTCTGTTCTCTAAAGACTTAACTCTAAATGGGTTTTAAAATTTGAGTTGAAATGGGAATACCTTTACCTTCTTTTCTTTGTGTTTACTTTAGTTTAACGTGGGGATGCTCCTCTATATGTTATGAATATGTTTTATTGCCACCACTTAATAAAGAAGCTGCTTCAGCCTGTGGCAGAGCAGAATATAGCTAGACAGGATATACAAACAGAGATAGTGGGAGAAAGAAGGCAAACTCAGAGGAGATGCTAGCAGCTGGCGGGGAAGCAAGATGTGAAGTAATAAGCCATGAGCTTCATGATAAAACATAGAATAATGAAAAGGGGTTAATTTAAGTTGTAAGAGCTAGTTAATAATAAGCCTGAGCTAATAGGCTAAGCAATTATAATTAATATTAAGCCTCGGAGTGGTTCTTAGGGAAATGGTGGGAAGGACAGCAACCTCCATTTACATTAGATCTTTTCATTTTTGGCTTTATCTTATTTCTATCTCTGCTCTCTTCCATTTCTCTATCTTCCTTAATGTATTAGGGGTTAATTGTTGATACAATGAATAGATCAAAGGAGATACACATAGATCTACAGAACACAGAAATCAGTGGCAGGCCAGCAAGCCTCCTTGAACCACAAAATGATTTATAGGCAGTGAGTTTCAGAAAATTTGAACCTAGCAGAGGAAAGGCTGTTTCACTGTCTATCTTCCCCATCATTTAAGAGGAGCTATTGAATGGTAAGGAGCGAGGGAAATGGCTAAGTGGGTAAACCTGAACCCCAGAACCCACAAAAAGCTGGATACAGTAGTGCATATCTAAAACCCATATGTAGTGTAGTGAGACAGCAGGAGAACCCACAGAAGCTTGAGGGCCAGCTAACCTGGCATCTGCAGCAGTGAACTTGCAAGAAACCCTGTCTTGCACAGGGCAAAAGGCAAGAAAACTGATAGTGGCCAATGCTGTCTTCTGACATCCACACATGTGCCTTGGCATGTGAGTGCACTTAAACACATGAACACACACATACAACAAAAGCATATACACACACACATACACACAACAAAAGCAGAAGGAGATGGAGAGGAGGATGAAGAGAAAGAGGAGGAAGAGCTGATGTGATGCTGTGCATTGATCTGTTTTTAAAGATACCACACATGAATCAGTTCATCCCAAAGAGTGCAGCTTCATAACTAAAATACCAGTAGCAAGGTTGCTTGCAGGCAAGACCCACAGGGAAAGGCATGCAACTTCACCACCATATAAGCATCACTCTTCACCTATCATTTCCGACTACACAGAACTTCACACCTAACAGTGATCACTCTCTGTTGGAGATCACAAAGGCAAAAGGAAGATTTACAAACAAGGTGTGTAGCATTTAAGGGAGCAACACCATGACAGAAAACTTTGGATAGTTTTAAAAACTTCAGACAGTAATGGAACTACATCAGGGAGAAAACCCACTTATAAATGTTTGGCTATATCTACAGGAATAAGTGTAGGAGGTCAAATATCTTCACAGTGAAATGTCAACACACTGAAGAAACTGAAGAAGATGCTATGCTCATGGATTGTCAGAATTCATATTGTAGAAGGGCTGTATTACCAAAAAGCAACCCACAGATTTGATGTAATCTTTATCAAAATCTCAACAATATTCTTTACAGTACTAGAAGAAACAATGCTGAAATACATATGGAAGCACATAAGACATCAAATAGCAAAAATAATCCTTAGCAGAAAAGCCATGTTGAGAGCATCATGATACTCTGTCTGTCTGTCTGTCTGTCTGTCTGTCTGTCTGTCTATCTATCTATCTATCTATCTATCTATCTATCTATCTATCTATCTATCTGTCAGAGTGAAAGGAACAACAACAAACCCACAAAAGCAGAATGACACTAGTGTAAAATCAGATATGTAGACCAGTCAAATAGAATGGATGACCAGGAATCAGCTCATGTGGTGTGATTCACCTAATTCTGACAAGGTAATAAAAAATTACATTGAAGCCAGCCATGGTGGTGCACACCTTCAATTCCAGTGCTCTGGGACTAGGCAGATCTCTGTGGGTTTCATGGCACCCTGGGCTACAAAGTGAGTGAGTCCTTGTCTCAAAACAATAAAAACAAATTGCAGAAAAGATATCCTCTTTAACAAATAATGCTGAGAATACTGATGTCTAGTTGTTGAAGAATGAAAGTAGATGCAGATCTTTCACCCTGCACAAAGGTCAATTCTAAATAGACCAAAGACCTTAGATCAGAAACTTCGACAGCACTAGAGGGAAAGCACTGGAGATATAGACATAGGCAAGGACTTGCTGAAATAACTCTTTGATAACGTGAAAGCGATCCAGAGAGTTAACAAAGGGGATTGCATGAAATTAAAAGGCTTCTGTATGACAAAGGAAACACTCGACAGTGTGAAGAGACATCATGAAGAATGGAGAAAAATCTTGTGCATCAAACAGACGATAATTACATAGAATATATAAAGAACTCTGAAAAGTAAGCAATAAAAGTCATCCAAATAATGTATGAGTGAAGGAACTGAATAGACAGTTCTCAGAGCCAGAAGCACAAATGACTTTTAAACAGTTTAAAAAGATGTTCAATAGTCTTCGCCATCAGGCAAATGCTAATTGAAGCTGCCATGAGATTCTATCTTATTACAATCCAAATGGCTGAACAAGTAACAACAAAAGGTGGTGACTACGTTGGGAGAGAGGCAGCCTTAACACTGCTGGAAGCGTGTAAACCTGTGCAACCTCCATGGAAATCAGTGTGGAGGTTTCTCCAAAAATTTGAAAAGAAGACTACCATACAATCCAGCGGTATCACTCCTTGGTACATACCTAGAGGACTCTAAGTCAACATATTACAGAGATGCCTGTTCATTCATATTTATTGCTATCTTATTCATAATAGCAAGGAAACTAAGTCAGCCTAGGCACTCATCATCAGATGAAGGGAGCAAATGTGATATGTGTACTTAACAGAATTTTATACAGCCATGAAGAAAAACAAAGTCATGAAGTCTACTGGCGATCATTATGTTAAATAAACCAGATTCAGAAAGATAAGCATAAGATAAGAAAGATATGCTTTCTTTCAAATATAAAAAATAGGCTAAAAATTATATGTATATGTGCATGAATGTGTGTATTCATGTATGGGGTCACTAAACTATACAGGGGATTATGAGAGTGGGGACGAGAGTTAGGGGAGAATAAAGAGTATATAATGGAATGCATTCAACAACAAAGCAGACATTGAAACTAACCAGGAGAAGAGAAGAGCACAGTTGGGGGCAGGCAGGGGCTGAGGCATGGAAAGGGAGTGTGTGAGGGAGTAAGAATAAATGTCCTTGTTACTTGTGTACAGTCACTTGATTAAACTCATTATTTTGTGTGCTAACTGTATCAGTGATGTGATCAAACACCCCAATAAAGCAACCAAAGGAAGGGTTTTTTTCTGACTCACTGTGTGAGGTTGCTGTCGATCATTATGGGGAAGGCATGGCAGCAAGAGCATTCGCAGTCAGGAAATAGAGAGAGAGAGAGAGAGAGAGAGAGAGAGAGAGAGAGAGAGAGAGAGA